GCACCAGGGCGGGCTGCTCGCAGCCCCCAAAGCGCCCTCCCAAACCCCGTCGGCAGGCGCCCTGGCGGATGTAGTTGACGGCCTCTTGAGCGCCAAATCCAACACCATCGCAGTCGCGCCCAGGGCCTGACCCACGTCGTCTTGGCCACGCAGGGCCATGGCCCGCATGGCGAGGGCGTCCGTCAGCATCCATGCCCGAGCAGCGGGCCTAGCTTGGTCCCTTTCGCGTCGGGCGCCCAGGGCGAACGGGGAACGGAGGGCCTTTTCCAAGCTGGGCTCGCGGCTCCGCGCTCGGTCCCCGCCCTGGGCGAGGAAGCCCAACACGCACGCGCCTCATCCGTCTTCAGCATCCGCAGTTGGGCCTGCGTGAGCTGGCCGCCCCCGCGTACCACGGACCACCCCAGTCCACCAATCGCGCCTGCATGATGAATGGGATCAGAGATAGGCAACCAACAACGCCCCGATCCCGCGCCGACCCATGGGAACCCCATAGAAGAGCTGGCTGAGTCACTGCGGGCCCCAACGACCATCGCCAAGGGGGGGGGGGGGGGGGGGCGAAAGATCTCCATGGTCATGACAGCCGCCCTGGCCGCCAAGAGGTCGACGGCCGGTGGGCGATCCCAGTCTGCAGTTCCAGCGGCGACTCTGGCGCCGACCCCTGCCATCACGCACCAGGTTCGACCGCTCGCCCCAACGGTCAAGCGCGGGCAGATCTCGACGAGAAAGCACTCTTGCACCCACTCCGCCAGCTGCTCCACATCCGGGCAGTCACTTCCGCGGCATCCAAGACCGCACTCAGCAGGCTGGGCTCGCCCCCCCGCCCGCCACAGGGCTTGCCGCTTCGGCGGGGTGTGACGGCGCCTCCGGTTCGAGACTGGCCCCCCTGCACTGGTGGGTCTGCACAGGCCACCCCGCCACCGCGAGGAGGCGGGCCCTGCGGTTGCGACCAGGGCGTCTCTGCGGCAGGCACGGCGCCGCCCCTTCCGGGAGCGACCCCCTCGTCAGCTCGGGCCGCCCCGCCGCGCCCGGGGCTCGGCGAGATCCCCATCCACACGCAGCACGGAGACCGCCCTGGAGACCGGGGTCGGCCGACACGTCGGGGCGGTTTCCCCCTGGCCAAGGCAGTAGCGCAGGTGCGCCACGCACGCGGGCCACACGGCGGCAGGTACCCCGAGCGCACTTCCGCCTCACTCGAGTAGAGCCGCACACGTGCGCGCGGTGAGACACGAGGGCGCCCTCGTCGAGAAATATGGCGGGCGCCACCAGTCCCTGGTCGCAGCGCACCGCTGGCTGCAGGCGGCGCGCCGCCAGCTGGGCCCCCACCTCGATGGCGAGCAGGGCCGCCCATCGCGGTCGGGCCCGCTCTCGGATTCGAGGGCCAGCGGACAGGGGCCGTCGTCCACATCGATGAAACGCTCGGGTCGCGAGCGGCAGCAGCACGTGGACAAACTCGAAATCCCGCGTATGGCCCGCCACAGGCCCACCCAAGCCTTGCACCAGCCGACCCGCGCAATTCGGGCGAGCGTCACCTGGGCGCGCTCTGCAAGGTGGACGATCGGGGCCTAGTCGATCGCGGCGCACTGGTCGACGTGCATGGGATGGGCGCGAAAACACCCGCGCGCATGGCACATGTGCACCGTGCCCAGCGTCGCGATGTCTAGCCGCCATTTCCGGCTAGCGCAGTTGACCACCTCGCCCAACCGAGCATTTTACCCGCGCCAATCCAGACGGGGCTCGCAGGAGAAGTCACACCTCACAGGGGCCACCGGCCCGTTCTGGGCCGCCGTCCATCGCCGCGGCCTCGCACACCCTTCTGGTAGCAGGCGGCCTCCGTCTGACAGACGACCCCTGGTCCTCGCAAGCAGACGCCAGGGGCGAGGGCGGGGGAGGCAGGTGCGCGGCTGACCCGGCGGCACTCGCCCGCAGCACTGCGCGGTCTGGTATCAGGCCCAGCGCAGGCCTCGATCCACCCAGGGAGCCAGCACAAGCACGGCGTTGACACAGTACGCGAACGTCCAGAGGAGGCAGGTGATCATCGCAGTGCTCCACCAATGGTCTAAGATCGACACTCCGAGCCCGCCCAGCCCCAGCCGGTATAGAGCGTGCCTGGGCGACTCGGTGCACTGAACCAGTTCCAACACCCACGGAGCTTCCAGGTCCAGCACACGACGCTCCAGCTACACGTCGGAGCCTGGGGTGGGGCGCCGCCCGCGAAGGGCGGGGGCTCGCCCCGCTGCGGGGCATGCCCCAGCCGGGTCCGGCCCAACGCCCAAGCGGGGATCCACGCCTGCAAGCCCCCAACCGGCACCATGTCTTCCCCTGGGCCACTGCCGCCTGGTCCCGGTCGGGCCGTGGCCGTTGCGGCCCCCTGCCGCTCCCCTCGGCGGCTTGGCGGCTAGCCCCTCCCCTTCCGTTCGCCCAAGGGGGGGCGCTGGGCCGCCAAGCGGCGCACCTGGCACGCCGCCCGCTGGACCTGACGGCCTTTCGAGCGACGCTGCCCCTGCGGAGCTGGGGGGCCCCCAACCGCCGAGCCCACGCAGGCAGCCAGCTTTTTCTGCTTGGCTGGTCAGGCACGCGAATACCAATGTGATACGATTGGCGGCCCACATCATGCGCCCAGGGGGGCGCCTTGAGGCATACTGGAGGCCCACAGAACCACCCAACTCACCAGAGGTTCCTCGAGCCATCGGCTAGGGAGCCAAAATGACTACCCACATGAGCGTCCCAGCTTCTGCTTACCACCAAAAGCAACAAGCACAAAAAAGTTATAAACAAATACGAATTGGTAGCAAAAAGAAAACGATCATTCAAAGTAAGCCCCCAAAAAAGCAGGCACGATAACTCAAGAGGAAAAGACTATCATACGTGAAACGCGAAAACTTTAGCACATTCACACATGATGCGATGCATACAAGCAACGATTAACCATGACACACAATCAATAAGCATGCACCATAAACATGACAAATTATAATAACAAAACATGATGTAACAAATAAAGGTAAGAACGAAATAACGGAAAATTTGAATAAGACCGTACAACAGGAACAAAAACTCACGAATAAAGGTGGTGAGAAACCGGCGCACGAGTTCTGCGGAAGCGGCATACCCGAAACAAAATATGAAGCCATTCGACAAGCTTCATTGGGAAAGAACTGCAGCAAGGCTCCCACTGCATTCTCGTTCTGGCCTTGTCGGCTTCCGATGGACACCCGAGGCTTGCAGATGGCCCAGAGATGTCCCAAGAGAACACTAAGGTTCTGGAGAGCCCAGGAAGACCGCAAGAGATCCCCAAAGGTTCCCAAAAGCATCCTCAGAGACTCACCAAAAGGGCTCAAACAGGACACTTCAGGAGAGAATCTGCTCAAAGCCGAGCGAGGCTTAGATGGGCAACTTCAACCTCAGAGCAGCTCAGCTAGGCTAAGCTGGTAAGATTAAGCAATACATTCTGCTCAGCTACGCTGAGTGAAAGAGAGTTCATATAAGCGAGGACATGCGGGCCCGAGAAAAGCTTGTCTGACCGAAGCTCGGTTCTACTGCACAAAGTTAAGATCACTCGTGACATGACACACCCAGCCAAGCTGATGTAAGTTCGTGCTTCGCAAATGTCGCCCACACATCAACGCTGAGCAAAGCGAACCGATGCTGAGCTACACTGTGCTGCGCTGGGCTTGGTAAACGCTAAGGGGGCAAAACTACGCTATAGTTGAGCAACGCTGAAGCACTGAACAGCCACGCGCAATACTATAGGACTCGCGTAGCTGAGCCATCACGAATGCCTGCATGTGTCAATGGCTTGCTTCCCTTGCTTGGTGGTCAATGTTGCTTGGTCCATGTTGCCGCAGGAAACTTATTGACTCGCAGAAAGGGCTTGATACATTCGCCTCCCTGTGAGCGACGGCCCTCCTGGCAGTCGTGTGTGGACAAGCCAGCCAGCGGGACTGCGCAGTTGCAGGGGGGTGCCTAGCAAGCGCTGTCGCGGGTAAGAGGCCCGAGCGATCCTCCCCTCCCACTCTGCCTCACCCTCCCCACCCACTCCTCCTCGCCTCCTCCTCCTCCTCCTCCTCCTCCTCCTCCTCCTCCTCCGCATCATCATCATCATCATCATCCATCATCATCATCATCATCAGCAGCAGCAGCAGCAGCATCATCATCATCATCATCAGCAGCATCAGCATCATCATCATCATCATCATCATCATCATCATCATCATCATCGTCATCGTCATCATCATCATCAGCATCATCTGCATCATCATCATCAGCAGCAGCATCATCAGCAGCATCAGCATCATCATCATCAGCATCAGCAGCAGCATCATCATCAGCAGCAGCAGCAGTATCATCATCATCATCATCATCATCATCATCATCATCATCATCATCATCATCATCATCATCATCATCATCATCAGCATCATCATCATCCTATTCCCCCTTCTCCTCCTCCCTATTCGCCCCATCCGGACTCCACATACGACAAAGTCGCAAGGAATGTCCCGTCGTGACTCCTCCTCCTCCTCCCTTGCTGTTCCACACATCTTCCTCCTCCCCATCCTCTTTTCCTCCCCCATCACATCCCCTCCCCTACCTGTGAGGGAGGGGGGAAGGGGGGGAAGCGTTGGGAGGGGGAGCGGGATGGAGGGAACACCTCGTTTCGCTTCCTGCCGGTCCACATCGTGCCACAAAGAACCTTGAAAAGATAATGACACCCCTTGGGGACCCCAGTAACGCCCAGGATCAGGGAGAGCGCCCGGAAAGAGGCCAAATGAAAGGACCCACGGAGACACGAGCTCCGCCCGACACCAAAGTGGTCATTCAACAAGACGTTGACGGAGTCGCTCAACAGCCCTGAGAGGGGCATCATGGCCAACGCTTCCAAGTCCCGATCCCCTTCTCCTCCTCCTCCCCCTCCTCCACCTCCATCCTGGAAGGGCCCCATCGTTCTAAGTGCCTCACCACCCGTCGCTCCTCGGGCAGACCCCCAGCAGCCGACTGGCCTCGGCGAGGTCCGTGTTGCCGTTCTTGATCTCGTCCTTCAGGTTCTGGGACAGCACCTGGAAGTTCTGGAGGGACGAAGTCTCCGCCTTGCGCAAACCGTCCAGCTGCGCCTCCGCCTTCTCGAGCAGATCTTCGAGGACCGCGATGATGCCGCCGTCGTTCTGACGGCCCATGCCATCGGCGTGACCTTGGTACACAGCTGCGTCAGGAGCGCCCGCGTCGCTGTCCTCATCGCTGGACTGCTGCGCGGACTGCACTAGCGAGGACAGCTTGCTGGCGTCGGTGGAGCTGATCAGGGAGGCTTGCACCATGGCGGTGAGTGCCTGCGCGACTGACTTTGCATTCTGAACCTGAAGCATGGACGCCGAGCCGATCTTGG